CGCGCTTCGAATGCGTTCTGCATCCATTATACAGGCTGAATGCTGTGTGAATTGTGATTACTGTTGGTGGATATTTATAGGTATGGGTAAGCAGGTGGTGGTAACTAGCTCGTAGAAGACGTTAATTGGTGGAGTGTTGTATTGTGGCCTGGGGGTTTCTCGCCAAGAAGTAGCAGTGTGCGTGCTGTTCCTGTCGATTGTTTGTTGATTATGGGAGTTTGCTGTAGGATTTTTATTGCTTCGTGTATTTGAAGAGTTGTGAAGTCGTTAAATCGGCGGTTTACTTTGGTGTTTTGTACTACGTTCTGATGTGTGAGTTTTTGGTTGTGGATTCGGGCACAATGTTCTTGCACCTACAAAATGGAGCCATCAAAGAACATTGATGTATGTGTTATGTAGCAGGTCCTACATACAAACTTCTAGTCTTGATTTAGTTTTGAAGGCCATGGGTCAGAGTTCAAGGTCAAAAGGTTGCTGGTATGTAAAGCATTTTCCCCAACCTTATGAAATTATATTTCAATACAGCATAAATGAATATTATCAAACTTGTAAATCAAGTACCACATACAACATTCTAGACCTGATTAATTTTCAAAGGTCAACATCAATCGAATTGATGAAACTTAAGTATATACAGTATAACATTAGTGTGGACAAAAGTGTTTCATGAACACTATTTGCCACTTGTTAGAGCTAGCTATCCACTTTCTTCTGAGGTTTATCTGGGTGACTTGAATAAATACTCTTGTTGTATGTAGAAATGTGTTGAATCCTGTAAGAATATTTTATATGTAAGGATAAACAAGTCATTATGCTGAAAAAGTTTAGTAACATTACTACATCTCACTAAATATACATAGGTTGACAAGTTCATGCTACAATTTATTATTTTGGATCATCTGTTAACTGAAGATTGAGTAGTTGTAGTAACTGAAATGTTATGTATGGAAGGTGGAACACCCTAAAGTTATCATAATTTCAAAATTTCTGAGATAAAGTATATGTTAAAGATGTAGAATTTTTCATGATAAGTGTTTTAATTATTTAATAGGCTTGTGAAAGGCAGTGGAGAGGTTTTAGAGGAAATTGTCAGCTATGAGCGTTTCAAAGAAATCAATAAGGTAATCATATTGAGTTAATGTTTATTTTTCTATTGAATGCTTTGAATAACTAATAGAATGATGAAGATAGACAGATAGAGAGAGATGGGAAATCCCTGGAAGTGATTATTAGTTATCAAGTTCTTGATGAAATCAAGGTTATTAAAACATTGTACCCTCTTACCATTTATTTATTATCCTTTTCTAAAGTATATATATATACACACATTCAGTGGTTTCCTTCCATAAGGCAGGGAGAAGCTTCTCTACATTTTTTGCAACTTTGAGAAGTTTATTTCTAGATAGTAACATTTGGTGTAAAAAAGCTAGGTACCCCTAAAACTGTACCATTGTAGGCATGCGTAAGAAAAACATCTTACATAATACAACCAGATCATGTTTATAGATACACTGTACTTTCAGGTCAAATACCCCACACCACACTAGTCACCAAATAACCCCTCCTCCTATAAACAATTTATTAGAACTAATAATGTGTGCCTTAAGATTCTTTTAAAGTAAATGATTTATTCTCCTAAAGATTCTATATAAAGTAAATGCCTTATCCTCTTATGATTATTTGTTAAGTAAATGTCTTTGCTCCTTAAGATTCTTTAAAGTTAAGGTCTTGCCTACATTCTGACTGAAAGTATGACTATTAACTTTTAAAATTTCAGATTTATAAGAGCTGTAGAGCTAGTAATTAGACATTTGCATTTTTTTCAACTTTTGTTTGATAATATGAGGTATGAATGAGAACACTTAGGTTGGTTTGGTGCTTTGTTTAGTAAAAGACTTGCCTTCTCTCATCTTGCTGTTTCTTATTTTCTAAACACATTGAATTCATGTTGTTTTGAATTTTTTTAGAAAGCTACTTCTGGTGATGGAGCATTTTTCCAAAAGCAGTTGGTACTTATGAAATAGTGAACCTTACCAGTAGAAGTGTAAGCACATTTATGTGTCTGTGTGTATATATATAAATGAAGTTGTGTAAATAAAAATTATTCAACGTTTTTGAAAATCTTTATAACTTGATAGATGGACATTACTAGATCTAGCTTCTAAATCTTCACATTTCACACATCTGTTTCAGTTACAAATTTGTGTGAGGTGTATGATTGTACGTGAACAGAATTAACAATGAAATCATGAGTGACATAGCCATACTTTAAATTCAAAAACAGTTAAAATGGGATAGATATTTGTCGAGAACCTAATATTAATAAACATAAAATAAAAGAAGCCATTTTAATAAAGGAATACAAACCTTTAATAAGTATAGCACAATGAGTAGGTTTATACTTATACTAGCCCAAGGTTATGTGATTGACGTCACCAATTGGATGTACTTAAGTGTTGTGTAAAATTGTTCTGAGTACCTGATGATGCCACTTTAACAGTGGCAAAACCTTGTTTTTTAAATCATTAATGAATTTTTTTTCTACCACATTTTAGCTGTTTTTGAATTTTAAATTTTGTAGAGTGTGGTATATTTCTAACGTTTATAGTTATAGCTATACTTTATTGTGTGCGTGGAATTATCAGAAAGTTATGAGAATGATAGACAGCTGGTATTAGTGTTGATACACTTCATAATTTTTACCATTTCATATGAACTTGAATATTTAATAGATGGACTTAAACAATAGACCACAACTTTTTTTTACTTGAGGTTTAATTTTTTGTCAATATCTTGATATTAAATTTTATAATTCAAACAAGAATTTTCCCCTGACCAAAACAAAATGAAATTTGGTATGGTGAGAACACCCTTTTCAAGGAACTAGATAAAGAATGCAGTGTTAAAAATATAACAGGCCTAGTTTATAATCATGTTTGAAAAGTAAATTAAAAACTATTATCAGAAAAATAATTTGGTGTGAAATTTATTGAATAAAATATTTAATAATATGTTTGCTTATTTAAATAATGTTTCTTTATACATTACCTGACACAGCTGTTCAACACAAAGGGAAGGGGAAATTCGAAAGCCAACCCTCTATCTCACACCATGGGCGGGCTCTAAGGGTACATACCAGGTGTGGTAACAATAGGTTCAGCGGTTCACCAATTAAAAGCGGCCACAAAGACTTTTGTGAGAAAATGGTTTAGATATTTTACAATTTTTTAACTACATTCATATGTACAAAAAAAGCAACATTAATAAAAAAAATTATATTTTCGGGAGCTAGTAAACTTAAATCTTCAGTACACTAGGAAGTGATGTATTAACGTTGTAAATAATGAATAGGAAACAAACAATGATCCTTACAAATGTGTTGTAACTATCAGGTCTCATTATTCTGTTTTACAGTTTCAGTAACAACTCAGACGCAATTTATTATGATGAACCACGATAATCATTCATAATAGGTTTTGTCCAAGAATGTCACAAAAATTTTAATAGAACATACGGGCAAAAACCATCTTAAAAAGCAGACATGTTCTGGAAACAACACTCAAGACCTTTTATCTCAATGGCTAAGGCTGTAAAAATATTGATAATAGCAAAAAGTTGATTTTCCGATTGTTAGATAAAATTCATCCATTTGTTCTTCATATTATTCTTGTTTCACAAGTCTACAGAAAAATCGGCAATGAATATTTTATTCGAACCTGAACAAACCTACTAAAAACCTCCTATGCAGGTCATAGGACTACTGGATGTTGATTCTTGAAAGAGGAGGAGAGATTTTATCAGTTTTTTCATCGCTACTGGCCAAGTTTATCTTCGAAGCCAATCAAGCACTGAAGCCTACAGCAAAAACAGCTAGGTATACTGCGCCAAAATTTATGCATAGCTACTAAACAAACTCATGCGAAGGTTGTAAGGCTATGTGTAAGTTGATTCTTGAAAGTCGAGATTTCACCTCTTAAAATTTTCTAAGTTCTTTTTCGCTACTGACAAAAGTTCTTCGAAGCCATTTAAACACCATTATACTAGTCGGAAATGTTCTGTTTTAAACTAGTCCCAAACACCTTACTTTATTTGAATAAGCAGTGTGCATACTTATAACAGTGTCTCCAGCCTTATTATTATTGATTATGGTTTTACAAGCTGCCACAAAAAATTTTATATAATGAATACAATAGTGATGAATGCAGTATTGAGTATGTTATAGGGTAGGTTTAAAATTAATTCAAGCCCCTTCAGTTTTTGTTTTTTTTATTATTATTTTTGCTCTAAAGAATTTTCAAAAGTCTTTCACTTTTCGCCATTGAAAGAACCTGGTATCACTAATGCTCATTGATTGGAAAATAATTTGTGCAACTTATAGCTCATTAATTGGAAACTGCCACGTTGAAGATTTATCATTTCTTGAGGTCGCTGTTGTATTTTGTCTCTACCTGGTTTTATGCACCATTTCAGTGAGTTTTCTAACAGTAGACGATTAACATAGTAGGTTTCTCTACTCTTGTGAGTGGTGATTTATTCTACTGATTTCAGTACTTCACTTGTTAAATGCAGGTTTACATGAAACCTCAGGCACAAAACTACCTGGCTCAGTAAATAATGACTGTGTGGAAAAAAAGACAATGCAGCAGTAAACTGTTGAAAAACATTTACACGTATGTAGCTTAAAATCTATTCTACATAAATGGACACACAAAAATTTAAGAAACAAGATAATTAAAAATTCTTAATTTAAAACGGGGAATAGAGATAGTCAAAATAATACAGAAACAAGTTAAATTAAAATGAAAAGATTATATTTTCAAACCTACAACTAGGGACTCCAAGCAAAGTAGGCTGAAAAATAGCGTATACATTATTTTCTCAAGCTACAAATCCCTATTTTAACTCCATTAAAATTATAAGATAACATAATATTTAGGGACAACAAGGAACCTATTGGTCCATCTAAGCTATCCCATCCACTAAACTAGACCTATTAAAAAAATAACCTCAAAGCCATATAATAAATAAAATTCATCATTCATATAATGAACAAGCATTATCTTAAATTCACTTAAATTTACCACCTCCACAACATCTGAAGGCAACCCATTCCAAAGGCCAACTACACTACTGGAAAAATGAAACTGTCTTGGCTGAAGATGACTCCTACCCTGCCAAAATTTATATTTGAGCCCTCTAGTCCTACCATTCTCACCATTAAATATAAAAAAAAGATGCATCAACACTATCTTAAACACCTCAATCAGATCCCTTCTAACTCTTCTATTTCTGGAAAAAACAATTTCAGAGATATTAACCTCTTCTCCTATGACAACCTTTCCACCCCAGTTACCATTATAGTAGTCTTTCTCTGAACCATTTCCAACAATTCAATATCCTTTCTTAGGTAAGGAGCTCAAGATTGAACACAATACTCAAAATGTAGCCTAACTAGTGACACATACAATCTAAGTACAACTCTTTAGACTTGTATTCAATATTTCCTGTAGATACAACCTAAAATCCTATTTGCCCTACCACCTACATTGCTTGGATGGCTTAAAAGACTGATCAACCACCACATCAAGGTCCTTTTCTTGCATAACACTGTTAAGTTATTACCATCCAAATTATGATAACCCACACGCATTATCTTACATTTATTATAATCAAAACCCATCTGCCATTTATTTGCCAAACTAACTAAATGATCTAAATCCTTTTGTAAAGCATCCTCCTTCTCCTCACAGTTTAAAGAGTGCACGCACACACAAACATGTACATTATAATATCAGCAGAAATACTTATTAACATTTCCAGTGATAATTTATATTTGGTTGATAAATGCTGTAGACACTATTCTCAGCCTTGTTTGTTTACTTTTTTTTTGGAGCCCCTAGTTATAGTCTTGAAAATATATTCTTGCATTTTGATTCAGCATGTTTTTATACGATCTGACGATCTCTATTCCTGTTTTTAAATTAGAAATTTTTAATTAACTTGTACATAATAACATTGTCGAAATACAATACTTTATAATATTAAATATGAATATATCAGGATAAAAGTGCAAATGAAATAATGGTAATTAATAAATGAATATTGTTACGACAGCGGAAGTCACGTGACGCTGCTGGCGCATGCCTGACTGAGTTTCTCGAATTATCGGGGAAGTTCAAGTGTGATCAAGATGCCTCTTTATTAGTATATAAGCCTGGCAGAGAAAAGCCAGGGATGGATAATGCAAACAGTAGTCACGGCGAGTTTCGGGTAATTTACGATTCTGCTTCGAGCTAGTGTGTGTTTTGCACTCGTAGAGAGCGAAGTTATCGAGATTGTGAATCGCTGTGATTTATAGCGTGTAGTATAATAGTCG